CCCCCCCCCCCGGGCTTATGACCACAGAAGTAAAAGGTGACAACTCATTGCTCCTTCACCTCATTCTTCTTCATTATCCTTTCTCTCCCACTCAGAATTATAATATTCAAAAGTGATGGGAAAAAACAACTTCTAGGAATTGATTTTAGTTTAAATAAATTTGATTCTTGTATGTGAGCCCCTGGATTAAAAGATTGATCGAAGTAAAATATCCGTTCATTTGTGTACCATTATTTACCAAACTTTCACTGGGGCAATATTTCAAGTGGCTGCAGAATAGAGCCTTAAGACCCTCCGGCTAATTATTGCTAATTAGGGTCTGGTTGCTCGGTAACGCTTCTTACTCAAATAGCATTTTTTTATATTATAGTATTATATTAGGTTTAAATGAGAATATAGTGATTATGAGAACGATATTCACAGGTTGTAAGCAGAAGTAAAATGAAAATCACCAAAGCAGAAATAATATATTGCCCACATAGTTCATAATAATGCTTTGAACAACTCTACAACGTAAATACAATAATTAATAGGCTCTAATTTAAAGACTTATATAAGACACGTAGTACTTAGGTTTTTGTTTGTGTGGAATATATATTTAATTTAACGTTTTCGAGCGAAAATACATGACTATTTTATAAGCCATAGTCATAAAAACGTTCTTTGATTTGAAAATAATCAACTCAAAAAAAAAAAAAAAAAGACAACATAATAAGTTAGTCTTCAAAGAGGAATCATGACTCTAAAACAAACATTACATCGTTTGTTTATTCGATGATTCGTGATCTTCATGTGACCCGCCATTGATTTACGACCCCACAAGACTTGTTTCATTTTCCCCGAAATAAATATTTGTCAAATATTTTAAGCGGCATCCTACTAGAGACAACTGGTCATTTACTTCAATATTATCTTATTTTAGGAATATTTACATAAGCTTCAGATTGATAGCTTTTTGAAGAAAGTCTCAAAAGCGATGATATAATGATTGTCAAGTTTACTTACTTGTTGCGAAGGCTTGAGGACCTGAACGGCGTAACGTTCTTCAATCCACTTCGATACATCTTTCAATATCTACGAAAAGCGTATCTGAAAGACGGAGAGGCCATTTCATCAGCTAGAACTTTTACGATCCATAAGGCATTGTTTACTAGAAAACATTTTTCCCCTTTTTCGGTTCTTGTACGAGGGTAGAAGTGACTAATCGTAAGTACAGATCAAACCATTGAACACAACAAAATCATCACGTGTCTTTCATGTGGTTAGTACTTCCGGAAAAAATTACTAATTCCGGCTAATGACAACCGCCCACTTACCACCACAGGTAGACCACCAACGCAAAAGAATCGGATGATAGGAAGAGAGGATTCCAGGAGTTTTGCCACAAATCAAGGCCTATCGGCTTTAGCCTGCGTTGCCGGCGGTCTGAGAATTTTTTTTGGGAAAGGGGGGAAGGTGGAGGCGGGAGGGGAGGAAAGACCAATATTAATGTAGCATTTGATGATCATAGAACGATGATAAAAGTAGATATTTTTAACGAGAAAAATGTTCAGCAAGAGCAAGAGTTAGAGGGCTTCTGCTAGTTAAAGTATTGATTTTAAAACTTTGACAACCAAAACATTACACGGTGTAAATTCAGCTTCAATTCAATTTAACTTTAATTGAAAACTTAGGCCTAGGGCAAACGTCGAACTTCCCATGCACCGACTCATTAAGAACAAGGGATATCAGGTGATAATGAGGGGGCATTCTTTGGTGTAATTAAGTTCGGTGCATGGAAAGTTCGACGTTTGCCCTAGGTCTTAGAAGTTTCCATCTATATCTTTGACGGATTAGTTGGATTTGTCCCGGCTCCGCCACTAAAAGATACCAAATCGCTGCCCCCTAAGAGATACGAGCCATAACCGATACTTTTATCCCAGACTACCTTCCAAAATCCCCAAGTACGCACAGTGTCTAAGCTAGCGAGGCGGTACAAAACAATCTACTTCGATATTTAGTCAAAAGTAACGGAACTTTGCGAATATATTTGCCTTGAAGTATTCTTTCAAGTGACAGTGGTTATATATGCTAGTTTATCATTCATTCATTCTTCCTAAGTGAAAAAAAAACACCCCGCATTTATAACGCTTATGCCGCGCGATTGTTTCTGCTGCGTCGTACCTTACAAAGTTCAAGATATAGAAATATAACTTATCTATATTTCTATATCTTCATGTATTTCATAAGTGCTATGCGGTCCACATATTCTCAAAGTTCAAGATAGTTTACTATAGCGCAGGCATTTGGTTGCTGTAACGTCAACAAAGAAGAGAATGAATACAGTACTTCCTTACTCTACTTGACTGATACTCGACAGTACTTGACTCGAGCAAAGCCTAAACTGGCTGTCTAACATTCATCCTTTAAATTGATGATCTAACTTTCTTGCAAACTTAATAATCGACACCAGACCAGAACATTTTTACTCATCTTTTCACGGTGTATATTTTACCTTTTCATCATTACTGTTTCCTTAGAAACACCGACGCAGCTCACACTAGTTTTTAGCTAGTTATATCTTTTTAGACCAGAACATACCTTATTATATGACGTATCCTGTATAACAGTGGGTTTCTAGAGATCCCAGTGCGCAAATAGAACGATGTCAATCTTCAGTCAATACTCCTTTAATTATTTCTTGTTCATTTGCGAGTTGAACCGACGCTGGTATCAACTGAGCCAAGAGCAATGTTCCTCACTACAATATACGCCTTAAATATTCGTGATATACTYGGTGCAGAACGTTTTTGGAACAGTGAGCAAGAATAATATCGCCAAGTACTAGTATGATAATACATAGTAGAACACAATAACTCTTTTGTTTTCCTTCGTTTTGACTTTGCATATTAGTCATTAATTAAACAGCTTGTTTCCCCGCAGGGCCTTGTTTCGAGGGCTAAATATGCCTTGTTCCGAGGGCTAAATAGAGCATATATAAAAGTAAGCTTGGTGCCTATGTGCCTATGTACCTCACCCGCAAGCAAGCGGGATAAAAACATTACACTCTGGGTTAACTGGGCATTGTTCCATGCCAGAGTGGATGCCTCATACATCATTAATAGCAATACATACATATTGATGGTTGCAAGTTCTCAAGAGAGTTAAAAGACAAAAACATGGCGGCCATTGTGGTACCGTTACCAAATGGATGCTAATGAGAAATCTTTCGTTAAATGGTACCAACGTAATGTGCAAACGAAGAATTATACTATATGTTTCACGAGCGAAGTAAAATCGCTCTAAATGCCTTCACATTTATTAGACAACCCCGCTAGTAAGAGGAAAGTTGTCTTAATTATATGCACAGGGTTTCAATTTTTGATTTTCTAAATACAGTTACAGCCATTTCAATAGATCTTTTTAGCTTGGGCCATAGTTAATGGGGCGGAATGCCATTAGGAAATTTGTGGATAAATTGAATCGGACGTTAGTCCTTCGTCGGAGTAACCCATTAACTATGCTTGGGCGTAGTGTTTTTTTTCTTCGTGATTTTATGAGAATGAGATTCTTTGTTCGAGTTGTATTCCGGCATATAAATGTGTCTTCTCATGTATAATCGTCTATTACTGAAAGCTTTTTTTCACTTAACAAACTGACAAGATGTTGCGGCATCACGTTAAAATAGTGTGGATCCACGAGGCATAGAACATTTGGCTTACATTTTGACTTCAACATTTTGACTTCAACATACCCCGCCGAGATTCACAGTATCAGTTTCGTGCTCCGTTCAGTAATAAAGCACGCAGGAAGTGGGGTAAGCACTCAAGAAGTGTAAGGAGAAGCCAATCAGAGTGCGAGAAATTTGTATGTTAAAAATAAACTTTCACTCAGTTTACTTGAAGCTTTCAAATTTAATTTCTGTCAATTTAAATTTGAGACAATTTTTTTTACAGAATTATTCCACCTTTTATGGGTTTTCGACGGTATTGGTGCGAGGTACTCCGTAATAGACATCCCGCTTTAAAACTCTTGGATCCACACCGTTACTATCAGTCTATTTTCCTTTAGAAGCCCAATTGAGATCATCTGATCTTGGTATAGCCCCTGTCGTCTTGGTAATAACAAACTCTAACCCTCGCCAGAAGTTTATTACTTCAAGTGGGTAATTTAACCAGCCAGTGGTGATACAGAAATATGTTTCATGGGGAGAGACGTGGTGGATTCTATGGTGTAGCCTTGGTAAGATGATATGCCATTGCTGGAGTTTCTCCACCCACCATGGTAATCCAAAGTAGGTATGCGACCACTTGTGGATCTGGTTTGTCAGCATGACAAAGATGCCGAGAGAAAAGAAGAAGAAGTCCCAAGGGTACCATGCGTCGATGGTTTCCTGAGAGCATATTAAGTGTTTCAGGGTTATAGCAGTCAGGGTGGGGAGGGTAATGAGGCAGTTGTCACCATTTGTTTCAATCAAGTCATGCCGAGTGATGGCCGTTGGATCCACATGGTGTTCTCTGAATGGACGAATAAAAGCCTTGAGAAGAATGAGAGTAAATGAGAATGTTAAACAGGAAACAAAGGAAACACTTGGGGACAACAAAACTTTCTTATAATGCAAAATAATAGAGCAGTTTCGACTCACTACCACTACATTTACTATTTTATGCACACAAAGCTCGACTCACATGTTGATTTTTACGAAGGGAGGAAAACCAGAGAACGGTGAGAAAAATCCTTGTGGCACAGGAGAGAACAACACATCAAACAAACTCAATTCATGTGGCGACCGCAGGGCTCGAACCAGTGACCCCATCCAGTGGACTCACAGTGGTGAAAGACGATGCATTAGAAGCATACTCCACCCATGCCACCCAATAAAAGCACTAAAAAGGGATTATGATAATCATAATTTCGTACTTTTCCAACAACTGGTAGGTCGATAGAACCCCATGTGTCTGCACCCCAATGCACAAGCCCAGATAGAAAATCAGCAGTAAGGATTCCTGCAACTATAGCAAAGAAAAAAGAATATTACTGATTTAGTATTACGGGTGGCAAGAAGGAAAACTCTTGCCTTTTACCATTAACAGATCAAAAACAGTTTTCCATGTTTGATACTCTGATCAAAACATGCGGGATGTTGAGAGAACACGAGAGGAGCGTAGGAAACCACAACGCGTAGCGGAGTAGTTTCCAGCTTCTCGAGTGTTCTCCCAACATCCCAAGTGTTTTGATCAGAGTTTCAAACACGAAAAACTGTTTTTGATTTGTTTTATAAAGCGCGAAAAGATCGAAGAAACCCAAAGTCTAAGTAAATTCTCCCTATGTGCCGTCTGACTAATAAGCAATAAGTGATAGATTAAAATCTGACAGTTGCAATACTTCTGCGTGCTAAAATGACGAAAGCATGTTTTGATTCCCTCATCAAACATGGTTTTCGACCAATCATAGCGCGCGTAGTATCCCAATTATTTTATAAATAATATTATTAACTTTATTTACAATGAGTATGAAATGTCATAGTTATGATACACATTATGAGGAGGCCATGTTAGGGGTAAATTCTGACAAGCAATATAGCCTTTAAACAGCAAACACTAGAGCCACAAACTAGTGATGAACAGTATGCTGCTCTAATTAATTACTGACAGCAGCGTCCTATTAGGTGTATATTCTGACAAGCAACACAGGGATGTTAGAAAATTGCGACTTGGTTATCGCTCCTAATAGGGCCTCTTTAAGACTGACACTCTAACTTGTCAATATTTGGGAATGGAATAAGTAGTTTTTTGATCAGAAATTCATGAAAGGCAATATCAGCCTGACACTATGGATGTCTTTGAGAAGGATAACAAAAGAATGGTTCAACTTTATCACGTAGCTCTATTATATCACAGGTAGCCCAAACACAAAAATATCTCAAGACAACATTAATGTGAAAAGATGCCAAAAGATGCAAAAAGACTGCCTATGACTTCTTTACTTCAGCGTTAAATCGCATATATACTTACAGATTCCTAAGATCATCCCTTGTAGCTGGTCAACTTTAAAATTCTTCAATAAACAGCTGGTCAATACAGACATCAGAATGGCAAAATATAGAACACTGAACGTCTCCAAAATTCTTTTCTCTGCAAGAGAGTTTTAAAAAGTTTATAGTATACGAAAAAAGTTTTAATCATTTTCTCAATTTACTCGTTCAAAACTACGATAAAATTAAGTCAACATATGCAAATTAAAAAAGATAAGATGGTGTACAGTACAATATGTCACGCCACTTCATTGAACCAATGAGAGCAAAGTCCAACTTGTGTAAGCTCATTTACTACGTAGTAAAATATGAGCAACAATAAAAGGTTTTCGAGGTATAATAACGTTGCAAAATCAAGTTGCGGAATTTTTAAATAGAAGGGGAGTTAATTAGATAGAAAAAAAAGAGAAAAGAAATGCAGTCAAAAAAGCGTAGATATTTGTTATGCAATAAATTTAAGCTTTATATTAGTCTTTTTATTCGTATGATTGCACGAAATCCAGTACGATTTATCAACAAACATATCTAGTATAGAACGTATGAAAATTAAAAGTTGTAACAAAAATAAAGAAAGACATCGAAGTATTAGCCTTTGATGTACCTTTGGTGTAGCCATCGGCGAGCTCTGCTTTGGCACCGGCCTTAGGCTTATCAGCCGAGTTGTATTTCACTGTAGTTTTTTCACTCGTCATTTCTTTTTTACCAACTTCACTCACTGGAGTATTTCCAGGAGCCATTATTCTTTAGTTCTGTGAAATTTTAGAGAGATCAGATCAGGCTAAGCCATGGAGAATGGCTTTGTAGAGAGTCTAATCCATTATCCACCTTCGCTGTTCGGATTTTTGACAAGCAAATGGAGCAACTAGAGTCTGCGATTTTTTGTCAGCGGCATTGAGAATCGTACTTTAAATTTTGACGCGAGAGAGGGGAGGGTGGATGAAAATGTTTTGTAAAAATAAGTCTTTTAAAAGTGAGTTCCTTAAACTAAGTAGAAAGCTGTGAAACAAAGTGTATTTATTAGTGTGATAGTCAGATTACACGTTGACTAACATTTTATCCCTTCACTCGAACACAGTAAAAAATAAATAAAGTAGAATGCAATAGTGCTAAATACATTAACATATATTATAATATAGCCACAATATAAGGTGGGCTCTGATTGGTTAATTAGCATGTGCGAGTGTGCATCCAAAAATCTATGGGGTGCATGCCGAGGGGATTGAGTAGGCCATGAAAAATATTATGGAGATTTTGTTAGAAATTTCTTTTGAGTTTTTCTCAATTTAAAGAAGAGCTTTTATTGCTTTTGTTACGTCATAAATACATTGGCCATTGATTACTGAGCTTCTCTGCTATGCCTCATGTGACTCTTAGGCTTCCTTTGTGCTAAGAAACCTCCTGCGTGCACCCAAAACTCAATGGAAGCACAGTAATCAATAACCAATCCTTTATCTCACAGGTTTTTGAATAACTCTAATTCGAAATTAATACAATAAAAAAGTCAAAACAAACAACCTTTATTTCAAGCATTTGATATTATTTGAATTCTAAGAAGTTGAATTTTTATTTGTGGGGTGCTGCGGAGTGGGGATTGAAATTGGGAAGGACTTTCCTAATTCTTTTAGGAAAAGAAATTCAAAGGTTGCCAATTTCTTTCTACCCCCTCCTTCCTTCTCCCCAATAAATGAAGAAGAGTCCCTCATAGAATAATAAAAAATTAAAAATCCAGAAGAGGAGCAAATAATTCTATTTTCTTAGCAAATCCTTTGTCTTTTCTTCTGTTAAAAGATCTGTATCACTGGAATATTCATCAGTGAGTTGTTGAATCTGGAAAAAAGGAGGAGAATAGTTTGCTTTATTATGTTATCTTATTTCTGGTCTGATGTGGAATTTTTATTAGCTGATTGGTTTTCAATAGAGATGTAGATCTCTGAGTATGGACAGCATTATTC